ATCCCTTCCGGCACGTTGTCGTAAAAAGGCGTAGAAGGTCACGTTGCCGCGATTGTCGGCGAAATTGGTGCCGGCCAGCAGGTCGAACCCATATTGGTTCATGTCGTTGGGTCGACGCATTGTAGCGGACGTTGGATTCCAGCCCCTGATAATTCTTCTTCAGGATGAAGTTGGCGACGCCCGCCACCGCGTCCGCGCCGTAGAGCGCGGAGGCGCTGCCGGTCACGACCTCGACCCGCTCGACCGGGGCTGGAAGGGGATATTGCTGAGGTCGACGGCAGAGGTGCCGGGGATGGCGGGCACCCGGCGATGGCCGTCGACCAGCACCAACGTACGCTGCGTGCCATGCCGCGCAGGTCGAGGGCATTGATGCCCGCATTGCCCGCCAGATTGCTGGTCTGGTTGGTCTGGGTGATCGCCAGCGCGGGAAGCTGGTTGACGACATCGGTGATCTGCTGCGACCCGACCGTCCGAATGTCGGCGGCGGTCGACCGCGATGGGGGCAGGACTGTCTTTGCATCGCGACGAATACGCGAGCCGGTCACGAGAATCTCGCTGTCCTCGGCCTTTGCCTCGGTTTCCGATGGCACACGTGTTTCCGTCTGGGCGCACAATTGCTGCGCAAAACAAGCGCTTCCAGCATCAAGGCCGCGCGCAATGCCGTCTTTCGATCGATCATGTCCCTAACCCCCATATGTTGTATTTAGTATACAAAATATGTCGACGGGTTTTCTGTCAAGTGACAAGCGGGCGAAATGGGCAGATACCTATAGCGCACAGACGGTCAGGAAAGCGGCTGTCCGATCGATAGGTCGGTCCTGCTGGAACCTTGCGCCCGACAATCAACGGCTTGGCGAGGCTCGTCCGCGCTCGGCTGGTCGCAAATTTGCGGCGGGCTCGACGGAAATGCTTCGCTGCTTCATCTTGGCGTGTGAGGGGAGCCAGTGAGTTCGGATCAGCTTGTCGCCTGGGTCGGTCGCCATATCCTGCCGCATGAGCGGCGGTTGCGCGTCTGGCTGCGTGCGGCATTCCGGCGGTGGACGTGGACGACGTGGTGCAGGAAACCCTATTGCCGGATCAGCGCGCTCGATCGGTTCGAGCATATCGACGACCCCGCCGCTATTTCTTCCATGCCGCGCGCAACGTCGTGCTGGAGCAGATTCGCCGCGAACGGGTGGTCAGCATCGACGCTGCCAGCGGCAGCCGAGTTGGATAGCGCCCGGATCTGGGCCAGTCGCCCGAGGAGATCGTCGCCGGGCGGCATATGCTTGCCCGGATCGAACGGCTGATCGACGCCTTGCCCGACCGTGCAAGACAGGTCTTCCGGCTGCGCAAGATCGATGGCGTGGCGCAGCGTGACATTGCCCTGCAGTTGCACGTCCCGGAGACGGTGGTCGAGAATGACGTAGCGCGGGGCCTGCGGCGTATCCTCGACCAATTGACCGAGGGGTGAGAAGGCCGAACTGCCCATCCGGCGGCGGCGGGATGCGCTGGCGCGCGGATCGCGATCGGGGAAGGGGCGCTGGCGATGATCGACGACATCGCCTGCCGCTGGGCCGCCGCGCTCGACCGGGGGCTCGATGCCGCGGAAGAGGCGAACCTGTCGGCGGCTGGAGGAGGATCGGCGGCATCGCGGCGCGCTGCTGCGCGCGACGGCGGCGCTCAGTCTGCTCGATCGCGGGCAGGCGCTGTCGGGCGTCAGCGACGGGGTGCCGGTTCGGCAGGACCGGCGCCGCTGGTGGCGATGTCAGCGGCGGGGGCGATGGCGGCGGCGCTGGTCGCGGCGGTGGGGCTGGGGCTCTGGCCCGATGGGGCGAGCGGATCGACACGCGGATCGGCGAGATCCGGCGGATGCCGCTTGCCGACGGGTCGGTCGCCATGGTCAATAGCGGCACGACGTTGCGCGTCGCCTTCACCCCCACCGAGCGGCATGTCGAGGTGAGCCGGGGCGAGCGTGGTTTCAGGTCGCGCACAATCCGGCGCGCCCTTCATCGTCGCCAGCGGTCCGTTCCGTCCGGGCGGTCAGCACCGCCTTCGATGTGCGGCGCGAGGGCGATGCCGCGCAGGTCGTCGTGACCAAGGGCGTCGTCAAAATCTGGTCGGTCGATAGCGGCCGGCCGCCGAAGCATGTCGCGGCCGGCCAATGGGCGGTGCTGCGGCAGGGGGGACGCGGTCACGCCCAAGGCATTACCGCCACAGGCATCGGATCAGCAATTGGCCCGGCGTGAGGGCGGATCGTGCTGGACGACATGACGCTGGGCGCGGCGGTGGCGGAGTTCAACCGATACAATGTCAACCGACTGGAAGTCGCGCCACAGCTTGCCGGACGGCGGGGTGGTGGGCTGGTTCCGCATCTATGACGTCGACGGCTTCGCCTCGGCGAGTGCGGCGATGGTCGGGGGCCGCGTCGAGCATGTCGAGCGACCGGGCGAGGGCGACGTCACCCGCATCCTGCCCTGAAAAATCCTTCGGAAAAGCGACGGCGGCTGACGGAAATGTCGTGGCCGATCATCCTTGGATCAGCGCCGTATGAAGCGCGCGTCAAAAATTCAAGGGAGGGTGTGCGCAACAGCCATATTCTCAGCGTGTCGATGGTGGCGATCGCCGCAGTCATCGCGTCGCCCGCCGTCGCCGCCCAGTCGACCGTCCGCAACTTCAACGTGCCGCGCCGTGCGGCCGCGACCGGCCTCGTCCGCTTCGCCCAGCAGGCGGGATTCAGGTTCTGGCGCCCAGCGACGTGACGCGCGGCCAGACCGTCTCGGCCGTGAAGGGACAGCTCAGCATCGAGGAAGGGGCTGCGGCGGCTGATCGGCCCAGCCGCCTTCGGCTGATCTCGTTCGACGGTCGCACGGCAGTGATTGGCGCGGGCGGCCCCGGTGGGGTTCGCACGGTCGGCTATACCTTGCCGCAGGATATGGGCGCGGCGACAGGCGGAGCCCAGTCCACGACGTCGCCGACCGAAACCGCGCAGAGCGATGACGGCACGCAGAGTGAGATCATCGTCACCGGCAATACATCGGACCGGCGCGCTGTTCAACTCCTCGTCCAACGTCACCCCGGCGAGCGCGGCCGATCTGCAGCGCAAGGCGCCGAGGTCGACGGCCGAGACGCTGGAGCTGGTGCCGGCGTCTTCGTCGAGGGACAGCGGGGCCGATCTCCAACAATTATTCGGTACGCGGCCTGCGCGGCGGTGGCCAGACCTTCATCACGCTGGAAGAGGACGGGATGCCGATCCTCCTATGGCGGGGCGGGCGCCGATTTCTATTTTCAGAACGACATCACCATCAACCGCCTCGAAGCGGTCGAGGGCGGCACGTCGGGCGTGCTGGCCCCCAATGGCGCGGGCGCGACGATCAACTTCATCTCGCTGAAGCCCAATCACGACCGGGCGACCGCGATGGTCCGCTACACCGGCACCACCTATGGCGATCTGCGCGCCGATGGCTGTTTCTCCGCGCCGATCGCCGATGGCTGGGCGTTCAACGTCGGCGGCTATGTCACCTCGCAAAGGGGTGCGGCGCGCCGTTCACCTTCAACGCCTATGACGTGAAGGCGATGTTGGAGAAGAATTTCTCCAATGGCGGGCTGGTGCGCTTCACCGTCAAACATGGCGACAAGCATTTCCCCTATTATGCGGACATGCCGTTTCGCGTGTCGGCCAGCGGCGACATCACCAGCGTGCCGGGCCCGGACCTGAAGCGTGACGATGTCGGCGGTCGCGGCTTCACGCAGTTTTCTGGTGCCCAATGCGCCCGCCACCGGCGAGCCTGCGCCGGTTCAGCTCGGCGGACGGCGTCCATGTGAAGGCGACGACCTATCGCATCGATGTCGAAGTGCCGGTCAGCCCCAGCGTCCGCCTGTTCGGTCGGGCGCGTTATCTGGACGGGTCCTATGACTTCAATGGCATCTTTCCGGGCAGCGGATCGGGGAACGGCGGGCCTGACCTCGGCGCTCAACTATCTGACGCCTGCGTCCTCGCCGCTCGCCGGGCTGACCCCGCTTCAGGGTTCGCCGCTGACCTATTTCCGTGTTGCCGCACTGCGCTTCCCGGCGTCGCGCAATATGGTCTGCGCAATATCCGCACGGGCGGTGATCGCCGCGTCAATACCGCCGCGCTCAATGGCCTCAACGGCAACGGCCTGTTGCAACAGACGGTGCTCAACCACCAGACGCTGGCGACCAGGATTTTGGCAGCGACTTCGGCGTGAAATGGGATGCCGGGGGCAGCAATATCGACAATTCGCTGACCGTTGGCGGCATGGTGTACAATGTCCGTCGCCGCAACAACCAGTCGGCGGTTGCGACGGTGCTGAACGATGTCCGCAACGACTCCAACGTCTATGACATGGTCGCTGAACGCGGCGGGCGGCGTGCTGGGCTCGTTGACCAACAACGGCATGGTCAATTACGGCAATTGGGGCGGGGCCTGTTCAACGACGAGGTCACCTCGCTCTCGGCCTATTTCAACGACGAACTGACCATCGGCGACAAGCTGCACATCGATTTCGGCGCGCGTTACGAGCATCAGCATGTTCGTGTCGACATCGGCGATACGGCTGCGGTCAACGCTGCGGTGCCCGCTGGCACGCCGGGCCTGTACGACAATGTCGGCAGCACGTTCAGAGGCACCTATACACGCCAGACCGCCAATTATTCCGACTGGGCTTATACGGCGGGCATCAACTGCGAGCTGACTAACCATGTCGCGCTCTATGTGCGCGGCGGCGCACGGTTTCAGACCAATGGCGGCGATACGGGCGGCACCCATGCGCCGACCGGGCTGACCCTGTATGAAGGCGGCGTGCGGTTCAAGGCGACCGGATTCAACGCCTCGATCATCGGTTTCCGGACCGAATTCCGCAATCAGAATTACCAGTTCATCGACCCTGCCAACCCGGCGGTGGCGAGCAATGCGCTGGCCGACAACGTCACCAACGGCGTCCGGTCGACGCCACGCTGCGCCCCGTCGAGTATTTCAGCCTGAACGTGCAGGGCGTCTATCAGGACCCCAAGCTGAGCAACCTGCGCTTCAACGGCGTCGCCCAGCCGCAATATGACGGCAATACGCCCGAGCGGACGCCCAAGAAGCTGTTGACTGTCACCCCGTCTTCATCCTGCCCGGTGGGCTGGGCGAGATTTACAGCCGGTACAAATATATCGGCAAGATCTTCGCCGACAGCGGCAACGGCATCGCGCTGCCCGATTACGGCGTGTTCTCGATCGGCGCGAGCATCGACGCCACGCCGCGCCTGAACCTGTCGGTCAGCGTCGACAATCTGACCAATGTGAAGGGCTTTACCTGAGGGCAATCCGCGTCAGGGGCAGACCCAGACCATCGTCGACGGCTATTTCTATGGCCGCGCGATCGTCGGCCGCAATGCGCTGTTCAGCGCGACCTTGAAGCTGTGAAGCGCCGGGCGGCGATCCGGCTGTCCTGGGGCTGGCGGCGGTGCTGGCCTGACCGGCACCGGGCGCGGGGCCGATCCGGTCGAGCGTTACACGGTGAGCGAGGGGCTGAACATCAACAGCTTCACGCGCGCCGGTCGGTCGCGGCGCATGTCGTGCTGCGCTCGGGAAAGCAGCCACGCCTGCTGGTTGCTTTCCCGGCAGGCAATCAGCGGCACCGCGCTCTGGTTCGAGCCGCTGGCGGGGACGCCGAATGGCGGCTGGAGGGCGCGCCGCAGCCGGTGACGGAGCGCGACGCCAGGGCGGCCGCTCCACGGTGTCCGCTTCGCCGTGACCATCGCTGCGCCTCGCACGGTGCCGCGTCAGGCCGTGCTGTCGAGCATCCGCGTCATTCGCGACTATCAGGCGCTGGGCACCGCCCCGCCGAGGTGCTGACCCCGCCCCGGATCACGGCATCCGCGCTTCGCTGGTCGCGCGACCGGCTGGATGGCGCGCCGGGCTATGACTGGCGATGACCGTCACGAATGGCCGTATCGCGGACGGCGCGATCGGCGGGGAAGGACAGGACGATCCGCTTCGCCGTGACCGCGCTGACCGGTGAGACGCCGCTGACTCCGCGCGGTGGTGCCCAACTGCTCAACGGCAAGGCGCAGGCGGATATGGGCGCTCGCAATGCCCTGACTTTCCTCAGCTATGCCGAAGTTTCTGGCGGGATCGTGGCGGTTCGACACCTATTTCGGGCGCGACACGCTGATGTCGGTGCGGCTGCTGATGCCCGCGCTGCAACCGGCGGCGGTGGAGACGGGACTGTCCTCGGTGCTCGCGCGCCTCTCTGCACGGGGTGAGGTCGCGCATGAGGAGGATATCGGCGAGTTCGCCATCCTCGACCATCGCAAGGCGGACGGTACCTCGTCGGATGCGCCGGTGTACTTCACAACATGGTCGACAGCTATATGCTGGCCCCGTCGCGCGGGCATGGTTGCTCGATGACCCGCGCGGACGGGCCGGCGGCGGCGTTTCTGGCGCAGCGGGGTGGACGGCGAGACGCTGGGCGCGCGGATGGTCCGCAACCTGCGCTTCGTGCTGCGACAGGCGACGCCCTTCGCGCGCGAGCCCGTGCCTGCGCACTGGTCGCGCTCAAGCCCGGCATGGATGCCGGCGAATGGCGGGACAGCAACGACGGACTGGCGGGTGGCCGTATCTATGACGTCAATGCCGTGTTGGTCCCCGCCGCGCTGGATTCGACGGCGGCCTTGCAGGCGAGCGGGCTGCTGCATCCCTATCTGGCAGCCGGCGATGCGAAGGACTTCGCCCGGGCGCGGGCCATCGCCGATGTCTGGCGGGCCAAAGGCGCCGCCGCTGTTCGACGTGACGCTATCTCCGGAAGCGGCGCGGCAGTCGATCGCCGCTATGCCCGAACCATCGGCGTGCCGGACGCGCCGGCGCTGGCGGCGATCGGGCGTGAGGCAGTCCGTTTCCGGCCATCGCATTGGACGCGCAAGGGCGGCCGATCCCGGTGCAGAACAGCGATCCGGGCTTCGCGCTGCTCTTCGCCCAGCCGTCGGCGGCGGCTTTGCGGGTGATGGCGAGCAGCTTTACCGACGCCTTTCCGGCCGGGCTGCGCACGGGGGCGGGGATGCTGGTGGCCAACCCGGCCTTTGCCGACGAGGCGATCCAGCGCAAATTCTCGCCCAACGCCTATCACGGCACGGTGGTGTGGAGCTGGCAGCAGGCGCTGGTCGCCGCCGGTCTGGCGCGGCAGTTGGAACGGCGTGACCTGCCCGCCAATGTCCGTACGCGCTCGCCCGCGCAATCCTGCCTGTGGGACGGGATCGAGGCGACGCGCGCCGTGCAGAGTTCGGAACTGTGGTCTGTCCCGGCGCTATGCCGATGGTCGATACCAGGTCCTGCCCTTTGGCGCGGCCGGCGCGGACGTCGACAGTCCCAACGCGGCCCAGCTCTGGAGCACCGTCTATCTGGCGCTGCGTCGCCCGGCCGGGAACGGGGTCGCGTGCTCCGCCGGATGACGCTCGCTCGGGCAGGGGTGATCGGATAGGCTGGCCGGCATGACGGACAATCGCATTCGCCGGATCGTGATCCGGGCGGGGAACGGCGGGCTGGATGACCGCCGCCGCCCTGTCACGCGCAGTGGCCGGGCAAGGCGTTACCATCACCCTGATCAGATCTGACGCGATCGGCACGATCAGGGTGGGCGAGGCGACCATTCCCACCATCCACTGGTTCACCAGATCATCGGTCTGGACGAGCGGCAGTTCATGGCCGAGACCAAGGCGACGGTGAAGCTGGGCATCGAGTTCGTCGGCTGGAACGGGGCGGGCAGCCGGTATTTCCATCCTTTCGGCGTTCGGGCCGCCCGGCGATGGCGCGATGTTCCTGCACCGGCTGATCCGGGGCGTGCCGATGGCGACGCGGCGCCGACCGAGGCCTATTCGCTGACGGCGCAGGCGGCGAAGGCAGGTCGCTTCTGCGCGGCCGGTGGCGGACCGCCGGTCGCTGCTGTCGACGCTGGGCTATGCCTATCATTTCGATGCGGGGCTTTACGCGCGTTACCTGCGCGGCACGGCGGAGCGTTCGGGCGTGACGCGGATCGAGGGGATCGTCGCGTCGGTCGGCGGGGAAGGCGAGAGCGGCTTCATAGCATCGCTGACGCTGGAGGATGGACGGACGGTCGCGGGCGATCTGTTCATCGACTGCTCCGGACTGCGCGCGCTGTTGATCGGCGAAACGCTGGGCGTTGGCTATGACGACTGGTCGCATTGGCTGCCCTGCGACCGGGCTGGGCGGCGCCGAGCGCAGCCGAGACCAGTCTGACGCCCTTCACCCGGGCGACGGCGGCCGAGGCCGGATGGCGCTGGCGCATCCCGCTGCAGCACGGGTAGGCAATGGCTATGTCTTCGCCAGCCGCTTTCAGGACGAAACGCCGCGCGCGCCTCGCTATTGGCGGGCATGGACGGGCCGCCGCTCGCCGATCCACGGCTGATCCGCTTCACGCCCGGCATGCGGCGCGGGCATGGCGCGCCAATGTGGTGGCGATCGGCCTGTCGAGCGGTTTCACGGGAGCCGCTGGAATCGACCAGCATCCATCTGATCCAGAGCGGCATCGCCAAGCTGTTGTCGCTCTTCCCGGCCGCCGATTGCTCGCCCCTGCTGGCGCGGCAGTTCAACCGGGTGTTCGGACAGGAAATGCACGATGTGCGCGACTTCCTGATCCTGCATTATCATGCGACGGCGGGCCGCGACGAACCGATGTGGCGCGAGCGGCAGGCGATGACGATCCCAGATAGCCTTGCGGAGCGGATCGCGCATTTCCGCCATTCAGGGGGCGCATCGTCCTGTCCAGCGACGAGCTGTTCCGCGACGCCAGTTGGTTCGCGGTGCTCGACGGGCAGGGCGAACGCGCGGAGGATCACAATCCGCTGATCGAGGCGGTCGGCCGCGACGACAATCTCCGGCATTTGGCGACGCTGCGCGCCGAAATCGCGAAAGTCGCGGCATCCTGCCTCCTCTTCCGGCGGGGATGAGGACAGGGCGTTCCTGATGTGATGGCCGGATGGATGAGCAATTTAGCGTAAATCCGTCATGGCGAGCGTGGCGAAACAATCCCGGGCGTCCTGCCGAAACACGGAACAACTTCACCATGCCCGCCATGACGGGCTGTCGTCACGGCGTCGGTAAGTGGCCTATCATCGCCGTCAGTAGCGGTCGGCCCATCAAAATGGCGCATCGATATCCACCACGTTGATCAGCTTGTGGTTGACGAACTCCTTGATGCCGAGCCCCAGCAGTTCGCGGCCATAGCCGGAGCGGCGGACGCCGCCGAAGGGCAGGTCCGCCTTCACCATCGTCGGATGGTTGACGAAGATCATGCCGGTCGAAATCCTGCGCGCCACGTCCGCGCCGCCTTCGTGTCGGCGGTGAAGACTGACCCGCCGGGCCATAGGGCAGATCATTGGCGATGCGGATCGCATCCGCCTCGTCACGCGCGCGGAACAGCATCGAGACGGGCCGAAAAATTCCCAATAGCGGGCCGGATTGTCCTCGCCGACATCGGTCAGGATCGTCGGCTGGACGAAGGCGCCTTTGGTTGGGAAATGTCGGGACCGACGGGGTCGCGGTCGCGCCATGCTCGACCGCCTGTTCGATCATCGCGCGCAAGTCATCGGCGGCCTTTTGCGACGACAGAGGCGCGAGCGTGGTGGCGGGGTCGAGCGGGTCGCCCATTTGAAGCGCTGCGACCCCCCTTGGTGTAGCTGGCGAGGAACCTGTCATAGACCTCGTCCACCACGATCATCCGCTTGGAGGAGACGCAGACCTGTCCGCCATTCCAGTGCCGGCCGAACACCGCCCATTGAACGGTCTTGTCCATATCGGCGTCCGCCAGCACGACGAAGGCGTCCGCGCCGCCCAGCTCCATCGTCGATTTCTTGAGCGCGGCACCGGCGATCTGGGCGACCTCGGCACCCGCCGCTTCCGATCCGGTCAGCGCCACGCCATGCACGCGGGGATCGTTGAGGATCCGGGTGATCTGGTCGCGCGTGGCATAGAGGTTGGTGAACCCGCCCTCGGGCAGTCCGCCTCACGCATCAGCGCCTCGAACCGTGCGGCACTCTGCGGCACGTTGGAGGCGTGATGAGCAGCAACATCGTATTGCCCGCCGAGAGCTGCGGCGCGATGATCCGGGCGATCTGGTAATAGGGAAAGTTCCATTTGGCTCGATCGCCAGCAGGACGCCCAGTGGTTCGCAGACCAGCACGGCTTCGCCCTCGGTCGGATCCGCGACGGGGAGCAGCTCGGCGGCGCGAGCAGCGCGGCGGCGTTGCTGGCATAATAGTCGAAGATCGCCGCCGACAATTCGACCTCGGCGGGCCTCGCCGATCAGCTTGCCCATCTCAGCGTCAGGACATGGGCATAGGTCTCGACATCACGGCGCAGGATGGTGGCGGCGCGATGCATGACCGTTGCCCGCTCGGCGAAGCCGGTCTCGCGCCATTGCTCGAAGGCGGCGTGGGCGGCGTCGATCGCGGCATCGACTTCGGCATCGGTGGCGAAGGGGAAGGTCGCCACAATCTCCCCGGTAAAGGGATTGGTCGTCGCATAGGCCATGGGAACAACACCTTTCTTTCATGGAAAAAAGGCGGCTCCGTCGAACGGCGGGCGCCGCCGGGGAGGAGAGGGGAAGGGTCAGCCGCTGTCCTTCAGCGCCTGCACCATGGCGGCCAGCACCGCCGGGCATCGCCGTAGACCATCGCGCAATTGTCGAGCCCGAACAGCAGGTTATCGACACCGGCATAGCCTTTGCCCCACAGCCGCGCTTGATGACATAGACCTGATGCGCGCGATCGACGTTCAGGATCGGCATGCCATAGATGGGCGGGGCCTTGTCGGTGCGCGCGCGCCGGCCGTTGACCACGTCATTGGCACCGATGACCAGCGCGACATCGACCGCCCCGAAATCGTCGTTGATCTCGTCCATGTCGAAGATCAGGTCATGGGGACGCCCGCTTCGGCGAGCAGCACGTTCATATGGCCCGGCATCCGGCCGGCGACCGGGTGGATGGCGAACTTCACGTCCACGCTCGCCGCCCGGAGCAGCTTGACCAGTTCAGTTAGAGCTTCTGCTGCGCACGGGCTACCGCCGAGCCATAGCCGGGGACGATCACCACGCTCCCCGAATAGCGCATGGTCAGCGCGGCATCGCTCGCCTCGGCCGTTTTGGCAGGCTTCGTCGCACCGGCGCCGGTGGTGCTCGCCCCGGTTTCACCGAAGTCGCTGAACAGCACATTGGTCAGGCTGCGGTTCATCGCCTTGGCCATCAGCAGCGTCAGCAGCGTGCCGGCCGAGCCCACAACCATGCCCGCGATCATCAGCGCGGGGTTGCCCAACGCATAGCCCTCCAGCCCGACCGCCAGCCCGTAAAAGGCATTGTAGAGCGAGATGACCACCGGCATGTCGGCGCCGCCGATCAGCAGGGGTCATGGCGATGCCGAACAGCAGCGCCATGGCGAAGAATCCGCCGATCAGCCATGGCTCCGGCGTTGGGCAGGTCGCGACCAGCGCACCCAGCGCGAGCGCGGCGAGAATGACGATGCCATTGAGCAGCCGCTGCGCCGGAAAAACGCCATGCGCTTCCCATGCGTCCGTCGAGCTTGGCCCAAGCGATCACCGAGCCGGAGAGCGACACCGCGCCGATCAGCGCACCGGCCAGCGTCGCCGCCAGATTGACGCCGATCGGCCGGACGGCGTCGGTCAGCGCCACGGCCGCCACCGCTGCGGGCCGCACCGCCGCCCATGCCGTTATAGAGCGCCACCATCTGTGGCATGGCGGTCATCGCGACACGCCGCCCGCGCCGCAGCCCAGCCGCCCCGGGACCAGCGCGAGCAGCGCGAGCCCGCCATTGAGCAGCCATGCGGCGCGGGCCGGGCCGGGCAGGTCGGCCAGCATGATCACGCTCGATGCGATCGCGGCGATCATGCCGATCCCCGCCATCATGATGCCCGACAGGGCCGAGGCGGGCGAAGACATGCGCTTCAGCCGGAGGATGAAGAGCAGCGCGGCGACGAAGCCGCACAGCCCGACGAGCAGCGGAACGACCGTTGCCATCACTTCGCCTCCTTGGCGCTGGTGCGGAACATGGCGAGCATCCGCTCGGTCACGGCATAGCCGCCGGCGGCATTGGCCGCGCCGAGCAGCACGCCCGAAACCCAGCACCCGCCCGGTCGTGGAGGTCGCGCCGAACAGCGCGTCGAGCGCGCTGACGACGACGATGCCATGGACGAAATTCGATCCCGACATCAGCGGCGTGTGCAGGATGGATGGCACGCGCCGGATCACCCTCACAGCCGGTGAAGCCCGCGAGCATGAAGACATAGAGGGCGACGATCCCGTTCATGCCTTGCCTCCTTTGAACGCGATGAGGGGCGACGCCGGGGCGTGGGTTGTTCACGCCTTCGGTGGCGACGCGCATGGCGGCGACGATCTCGTCCGCCGGGTCCATCCGGATGGCGCCACGGTCTATCAACACGCCCAGCATCGCCAGCAGGTTGCGTGCATAGAGTTCGCTGGCATGCTCGGCGAGGCGGCTGGGCACGTTGCTGGGCGCCGGGATCATCGCGGGGCCGACGATCACCGTCTCGCCGGGCAAGGTGCCTTCGACATTGCCGCCGCCATCCCCCGCCAGATCGACGATCACCGATCCCGGCTTGGCGCCCATGACCTGCGACCGGTCGATCAGCCGGGGCGCCTTGCGGCCCAGGATCGAGGCGGTGGTGACGATCAGATCGGCCTCGGCGATATGCCGGGTCAGCACGTCGCGGACGGTCGCCTGTTCCTCCTCCGTCAGCGGGGCGGGCATAGCCGCCCTCGCCGCGCGCATCGACACCGGTCTCGACGAACTTGGCACCCAGCAGGCGGGCCTGCTCGGCGGTTTCGGGCGCACGTCATAGCCGCTGGTCACCGCCCCCAGCCGATGCGCGGTCGCTAGCGCCTGCAGTCCCGCGACGCCGGGCCCATGACCAGCACGCGGGCGGCGCGCAGCGATCCGACCGCCGTCGTCATCATCGGCAGGATGCGGGGGCAGGTGCACGGCCCCCAGCAGCGGCGCGTAATAGCCGGCGAGGCGGCCGGCTGGACAGCGCGTCCGTGCCTGTGCCCGGCTGATCCGGGGACCTTTTTCCATGGCCAGCGCGGTGACGCGGCGATCGCGCAAGGCGGTGACCAGATCGGCATGATCCGCCGCTTCGACAAAGCCAGAAGCACCGCACCCGCTTTCATCGACGCGATCCAGGCGCGGCGTGGGCGGGCGAACCGTGAGGACGATATCCGCCGCCGCGACGTGCCGGCCGCGGATCGCGCGATCATCGCGCCTGCGAAGCTTTCGTCGGTGAACCCGGCCGCTGGCCGGCCGGCACCGGTTTCGATAACGACGCTGGTGCCGAGTTTGCACGCGTACGAGCGTGGCGGGGGTCATGGCGACCCGACATTCGCCGGGTTCGGTTTCCCTCGGTATCGCGATGAGCAGCGTCATGCAGCCTCCTGCGGATACGACCCGGCCGATCCGCCGTGTCATCGGCCGCTGAATGCCCGGGCCCTGCATTCCCGCGTATTCGTAATCTTCCGATGGGGCGGCCATCCGGGTCTACGGATGGTGAGGCCATGATCGACCTTCCATAAGTCCGGGACCGCGAGCGGCATGGCGCCCCGGATCAAGCGACCGTCTCTGCGCAGTCGCCGCTTCCGTCGGTTTTGAAGCGGTCTTCGGGGTACCTCGGGACCGGCCCATGCATCCTCGTGGCGATGATCGAGCACCGGGCTCTTTTCGAGGGATGAGGTCATGGACAAGACGATGAAGGCCGCGGTGGTCCGCGCATTTGGCGAACCATTGGTGATAGAGGAGATGCCGGTGCCGCGACCGGGGCTGGTCAGATACTGGTCAAGGTTGCCGCCTGCGGCGTGTGTCACACCGATCTTCATGCCGCTCAAGGCGACTGGCCGGTCAAGCCCAAGCCGCCGTTTATTCCGGGGCATGAAGGCGTTGGGACCGTCGCCGCCGTGGGGACGGGCGTCACCTTCGTGCGGGAAGGAGACCGGGTCGGCGTTCCTCGGCTCTATTCCGCCTGCGGGCATTGTTCGCACTGCCTCGGCGGTGGGGAGACGCTATGCGAAAAGCCAGCAGAATACGGGCTATTCGGTCAATGGCAGCTTCGCCGACTATGTGATCGCCGACCCCAATTATGTCGGGCACATACCCGACGGCTGGGCTTTGCCGAGGTGTCGCCGGTGCTGTGCGCGGGTGTCACGGTCTATAAGGGGCTGAAGGTCACGGATACCAAGCCGGGCGACTGGGTCGCCATCTCCGGCATTGGTGGGCTGGGCCATATGGCTGTTCAATATGCTGTGGCGATGGGGCTGCATGTCGTCGCGGTCGACGTGGACGATGCCAAGCTGCGGCTGGCGAGCCAACGGCGCCGCGCTGACGGTCAATGCGCGGACCACCGATCCCGTCGCCTTCATCCGCGCGGCGATCGGCGGGCGCACGGCGTCCCTCGTCACCGCCGTATCGACGACGGCCTTTGCCCGGGCGATGCGGATGGCGCGGCGTGGCGGGACCGTGGTGCTCAACGGCCTGCCCCCCGGCGATTTCCCGCTGTCCATCTTCGACACCGTGCTGAACGGCGTGACGGTGCGCGGATCGATCGTCGGCACCCGGCTTGACCTGCAGGAGGCACTGGACTTCGCCGCCCATGGCCGTGTGCGGGCGACCTTCCAGATGGAGCCGCTCCGAGAGCATCAACGATGTCTTCGACCGGATGCGGCGCGGTGCGATCGAGGGGCGTGTGGTGCTGGACCTTGCTGCGGCGCCGGCTCCGCTGAGCGGCACTGCGCCGGCGATGGCCACCGCATAAGCCGTGACACTGGCCGGCGCGTTCGGGGACGCGCCGGCTTTCCTCGGTCATCGACGCGGCACGCCGCCCGGTGGTTTCCGCGAAATCGGCCCAAGCCAGTGCGAACAGGCGGTGAGCGATCATCTCGACCGCCGGGGCGACCATGGCAATGACCGTCACCGTCGCCGGGACAAAGAACCCTGCGACGATGACCGCTTGGCGGCCGGGATGACGAAGAACTGGGCGATGGCGACGACCGTGCGGACCATGACCCTGTCTCCCTGCTATCCGCTGCCAGATCCGGATCGGCCTCCGCGATCCGGGAATCGAAAGAACATGGTGATGCAGGGGTCTCCAGGCCGCCTCGCCACGCAGCGGCAACGCCAGCAATGTCCAGCAAGGGGCGCGGAGATCGCACGTCGCACACAGGCTGTCAGACCGGTCGGGCTGAGCGCGGCATTGCCGTAACAGGCTGATGTAAAGCTCACGATGCGCATGGCGCGCTTCATGGCCGGGCGCGCTGTATGACCATCGCCCGCTCTGGCGGGCCCTTTTGACGAAACCAGTCGATCATGTCGCTCACTCCGGCTTGAAAGCAGAGCGCAGCTTGACCCCGTCGTCCGGGTGCGGGCCATTCGTAATGATGCTTAGGGATGGCGTTGGATCGGGGACATTACGGATAGGCGGCCGGGCCGGAGCTGGCGCATCCGCTGGATCGTCCCCGGCACGCCGATGGCGCGCCCCACCGATGGGAGTCGATCATGAGCCGTCCTCCGCTTGCCTCACTGCTGTCCCCCGCCAGTATCGCCATTGTCGGTGCGTCGACACGCCCGGGTTCGATCGGCGATACCGTGTTGAGGAACGTCATCGCGGGCGGATCTGGCGGCCCGATCTTCGCGGTCCATCCCGAACCCGTCGAACGACCGGGCGTGACCAGGTCAGCCATATCGCCGATTTGCCGAGTGCGCCGGATATCGCCGTCATCTGCTGCCCATCGCCCAAGCTCGCCGAGATCGTCGAAGCCCGGGGCGGCGGGGTACGCGAATTGGGTGTGATCCCGGCCGATGGCCCGGGTGACGAGGGCGCACGCGGCGCACTGCGGCATCGCCGAGGCGCATGGCATGCGGTTGCTGGGCCCCGACAGCGTCGGGCTGCTCGTGCCGTCCGTCCGTCTCAACGCATCCTTCGCCGCGCGGGCGGCCTGACCCGGACGGCTGGCCTTCCTGTCGCAGAGCGGGGCGCTGGTCACGGCGATGCTCGACTGGGCGGACGCGCGAGGCGTGGGCTTTTCCGGCGTGGTGGCGCTGGGCGATATGATCGACGTCGATTTCGCCGACCTGATCGATCTCACACGGCCGATCCTCATACCGATGCGATCCTGCTCTATGTCGAGGAGATCGGCGACGCGGCGCGCTTCCTGTCGGCCGCGCGGGCGGCGACATTGATCAAGCCGGTGATCGCGATCAAGGCGGGCCGGACTCGGCCTCGCACCGCACCGACCACGCCATCGCAGCGCGATGCATGGCGATTATGATGCCTATGCCGCCGCCTTTCGGCGGGGTGGGATCGTCATGGTGGACATGATGGCCGACCTGTTCGACGCGGCACAGGTGCTGTCGCGCTATCGGCCATGTTCGGGGAGCCGCGTCGCGGTGGTGACCAATGGCGGCGGGGCCGGGGTCCTGACGGCCGATGCGCTGGACATGGTGGGCGCGCGATTGGCGTCTCTGGCGGCCGATACGATTAAGCGGCTGGACCGGGGCTCCCGTCTGGCTGGTCGCAAGGGCAATCCGTCGATGTACTGGGCGATGCGGGGGCGACCGGGTCGATGGCGACGGCGGCGGTGCTCGCCGATCCTGAGGTCGATGCGGTCCTGGTCGTCCATTGCCCCCACCGGCACAGAGACAAGCGAGGCGATGGCGGAGGCGGTGATCCCGCGCCGCCGCCGGTTCCGACAAGCCGGTGATCGGATGCTGGCTGGGGCCGAGCGATGCCGGGGCGGCGAGGGCGTCGTTCGATGCCGCCGGCCTCCTTTTTCGAGACGATCGAGGGCGGTGTGCGGGGTTTCGGCCACCTCCACCGGGCCGCGGCCGGCCGCGCGGCGGCGCTGAAGCAGCCGTCGCGCTCCCATATGTCCGACCATGATCGCGAGCGTGCCGGGCGGTGATCACCGGCGCTCGGCTCGACGGCCGCGAATGGCTGTTCGCGACCGAGGCGCGGGCGATCCTCGCCGCCTACGGGGTGCCGATGGTACCCGGGCGCCCGGCGCGGACGGTCGCCTGCGTCGCGCAGGCGTGTGACGAGGTGGCGGCCCCTATGCGATCAGGATCGACTCGCCCGATCTGCGCCACGGGTCGGATGTCGGCGGGTCGTCCTGAACCTGCCCGATACGGCGGCGGCTATGGCGGCCGCCGGGCAGGTGGAGCATCATGTCACCACCTATCATCCACGGGTTCGGATCATCGGGTTCGAGGTTCAGCCCATGGTCGATGAACCGGAGGCATCGAACTCCGGGTCGGTGTCGCGGACGATCCCATCTTCGGGCCGGTGCTGAGCATCGGGGCGGGCGGCAAAGGCCGGACGGCACCTCGACGATCGTGCGGTCGAACTGCCGCCGCTGGACGACGACCTTGCCCGCGCCATGATCGCGCGGACCCGCATCGCGAGGCTGCTGGTGGGTGATTATGATGTGCCGGCCGCCGACCGCGACGGGGTGGTGCGCGTGTTGGAAGCGGTGTCGGCGATGGTCGCGGACCTGCCCGACATCATGGAGCTGGATATCGATCCGCTGCTGGTCGCCCGCAGCAGGTGACCGCGCTGGGCGTGAAGATACGCATAGCCTCACGCGCCACCACAAGCCGGATGGCGATCCGCCCCGCCCGGCGGAATGGATTGCCGACCTGACCACACGGGCGGGGTGATGCTCCATGTCCGCCCGGTGAGGCCCGATGACGAGGCGCTTCTGGCCGAATTCTTCCACCGCGTATCGTCGGAGGATCTGCATCATCGTTTTCTCGCCGGGCTGCGCGCGAAGTGGGGCGCGATCGGCTCGTGGCGATGACCCAGATCGATTATCGCCGGGCCATGCATTTCGGTTTTGCCGACGACCTGCTCGTCGCCAGCGCGATGCTCGTCACTGACCCCGACCATGAGCGGGCCGAGGTCGCGTTGGCGGTCGATCAGGGCGTTCGCTGGACGCGGCGTGAGCTGGACGCTGATGCAGCATGTCATCGCTTATGCCGCGCCGAGGGTATCGAGGCGATCGAGGTCGCTGGAAAGCGCAGACAATCGCGCGGCCCTGTCGCTGGAGCATGAGATGGGGTTCGAAACCGTCTCCAGCGATGGCGCGGAATGTCGTGCGTCGCGATCTCTGATCGGGGGCAGGGTGTACCCGGGCACGGGCGGGCCACCGGCACCCGATGATCCGTTAGGGGGCAGAGCAGGGGCATCCCTGCTCCTCATGGTTCAATGGACGAACAGGACCGGCACCGGGCTTTCGGTCAGCATCAGCCGGGAGGCCCCGCCTAGGATCGTCTCGATCAGACGTGCATGGCCGAAGCCGCCCATCACGACATAATCGACCCTTCTGGCCCGGACTTCCTCGGAGCAGGATATCGGAGGTCGCCCGCCCGCCCGGGGCGACATGGTCGATCCGGGCATGGATGCCGTGGCGGGAGATAGGCCGCCGCCTCTTCGGCCGGCATCGCGATCAGATCGTCTTCGATCTGCAGGATCGTGGTGTCGGCCGTCAGTTGCAGAAGCGGCACCGCCGCCCGCAGCGCCGCCATCGCGGCGGGCGAGCCGTCCCGCCGCCACCAGCGCATGGTCACGCCGGAACGCCTTGAAGAAGGCGGAACGGCCAGCACCGGCAGCCGACCGGACGATCAATTCCGCGGCAATGCGCCGCATGTCCATCAGGGCTTCGTCCTTGAGGTGACGGCTGACCACGATCAGGTCGGGAAAGCCGACGGCACGGGCGCAGCGCGGTCGCGGGATCGCCGCTGACGTCCTTCCATTCCCAGCTCATCCTCCAGCTTCAGGCGCTCCTGCAAGCGATGCTTGTTCGCGCCCTCGCGTTCGGACTCCTCCACCAAGAGGTTCGCGACATAGCCATCGTCAATAGCCGCTGCCGACCAGCGGGGCACATAGGGTGATGTCCAGACACAGGAGATGCCCGCCGAGCGCGCAGGTCAGGTCAGCGCGACTTGGAACCGCGCCTCCCTGACCGCTATCGTCGTGCACAAACAGGAGAATGTTCTTCATTGTCCGCCCTCCAGCACGTTGGGATGGTGCGAAAGAGCTTAGGTGCCACGGAGCAGGCCTTGCATTGGGAATTGTACGAGGGCGGTGGGCCGGCGGGTGACCGCCAAGCCCCGCCAGGAGAAAAGGATCGGCGGGCGGGGCGATGGCCCCCGCCCGCCATTTTACGCCGCAACCGCCTCACAGGCGTAGAGCGCGTCGTCGGCCAATGCCGAAATCGCCTTCATGTCGAGCAGTCCGACGAACTGCTCGTCGCGGCGTGCAGGACGCCGGACAGGCGCCACGGGCCATGCTGCGGCGATGGCGGGTACATTCTCCACATCCTCACGCATCAGGCGGGTGACGTCGAGGACCTGATCGACCAGCAGGCCCGGGCAAGGGTCGTTCGTCCGATCCGTCCTTCCGGTTTCGACGATCAGGATGCGTGCGTCAGGTCCGATCTCCGTCGCCTTCAGGCTGGAAAAGAGCGAAGGTCGATCAACGCCACCGACTGTCCGCGCAGGTCGATCAAGCCGACCAGCCAGTCTGGCGCGGAGGGGACGCGAAATACCGGACGCCGATCCAGAATTTCGCGAACCACGGTTACGGGCAGGGCGAACAGCGTGTCGTCGATCCCGAAGACCGACTTCGGTTTCCCCGCTCATGCCGCACGCCCGAATGCGCGGTCGTCATCGTCCGGGCCGCCCATCGTCAGGTCGAGGCCCGAAACCGCGCGACAGGGTCGCTGGTTTGGCCGATCGCAGGACGGTGGAGGTGGACGGTTTGCGGACGGCGGGGCGGTTGGTCGCCCGATGCGCGATGGCCTTTTGCGTGGCCGCATCGATCCGGAAATAGGCGATGCTGGACTGGAGCTCGTTCGCCTTGTCCGCCAACTGTTCAGAGGTTGCCGACATCTCTTCGGAGGCGCTGGCATTTTGCTGCGTCACCTGATCGAGCTGCTGGATTGCCTCGTTGATCTGGACGGCGCCGATATCCTGTTCGCGGCAGGCGGCGCTGATCTCGGCGACCAGTTCGGCGGTGCGGCGGATGTCGGGCACCAGCTTGGTCAGCATCTCGCCCGCACGGGTGGCGGCGGTGACGGTGTCGGAGGACATGCCGCTGATCTCGGCGGCCGCCGTCTGGCTACGCTCGGCCAGCTTGCGGACCTCGGCGGCGACGACCGCGAAGCCGCGACCATGTTCGCCGGCCGGGCCGCCTCGACCGCCGCGTTCAGCGCGAGGGAGATCGGTCTGGCGCGCGATTTCCTGCACGATGCCGATCTTTCTCGGCGATGGTACGCATCGCGACGACGGCCTTCTGCACGGCGGCACCGCTCTGCTCGGCGTCCTGCGACGACTGGCGGGCGATCTTCTCGGTCTGGGTGGCGTTGTCGGCATTCTGTTTGATGTTGGCGGCCATCTGCTCCATCGAAGCCGAGGCCTCCTCAGCAGCGGCGGCCTGCTCGGTCGCGCCACGGCTGACCTGCTCGGATGAGGACGACAGCTGCTGGCTGCCCGCCGCGACACCGGAGGCCGCTTCGGTCGCTTCGCCGACGACGATGCGCAGGCGATCCACCATCGAGACCAGCGCATGGCCCAGCTTGTCCTTGTCGGACAGCGGGGCATGTTCGGCAGTCAGATCGCCCTGCGCGATCGATCGGCCAGCGTGGCCGAGGTCCGCAGATTGTCCGTCATGTGATTGACGACCACCACCAGATCCCCGCAGATCTCGTCATTGCTGCCACCTCGACCCGCTGGTCCAGATCGCCGATCGCCACCGCACCCAGCGCGACGGAGATGCGGTTCAGACCCTGCGAGACGATGCGGCTGATCCATAGGGCGCCAGCCATGGCGAGCAGGAAGGCCGCCCCGGCCACGATGAACAGCATGAGGCGCGATTGGGCGCAAAGAGTATCGCCGGCCTCGTTCGCGACCTTCAACTCGTTTCGCTGCCGCTTGACGATCGTCGACCATATCGCCGACCTTGACGGCGGCCTTGTTGGCGGTTCCCAGCGAGATGACCGAGGCCTCGGCGTTACGATTTTCCAGTGCCAGTTCGACCGCCTTGTTGGCGATCGACTTATAATCGGTCCATCCGCGCAGCGCCTCGGCATACATTTCGCGATCCGTCTCATCATTCACGCGCGAAGCCTCGGTAATCAGCCGATCCGCACGGGCGCGTTGCCGCCGCAGTTCGGCGAGCTGATCGGACAGGGAAATTCCGGATCGTCGCTCATCGTCAGGTTCTTCTGCGCGACGACCGAGGATGTGATGGCATCGTTGATTGCTGAATGCGATCGAGTGATGCGGCCGGGTCATCGACCATGTTGCTCATCGCATCGTTCAGCGTGGACAGGCGATTGACGCTGAACCCCACGATGATCGCCAGCATCGTAAAGGTACAATCGCAAATGTCGTGACCAGCTTCATTTTTATGGTGGCACGCATATCTCTATCCCTGTTCACAAAATGTGGCGCACACAGTTAAAAATGATGTGAAATCAGTGGGATGATCACATCACTGGACGATGCCGCCGTACAAGATCGGCAAGGTTCGCTTGAGCCTTAAGGGGACGCATGAATGACATAAATTTAATATGAGTTCTTTTTCCGTGACGTTTTCACTAAAAAACTGGTTTGATCAGTAAATTCGGTGACTACGTTTGGCGACAAGATACTGATCAGGGAAGGGCAAATGTGGCTCGCCCTGCCGATCCTGATCGGCGCGAAGAAAAATTATGGGGCCGGTATCCGAATGGCCTCAAATACCCCCATGTCATCCCTGTTATAAAGCCAGTGCGTGCATGGGCCGCCCGGCACGCATGCGATTCGATCATATAAACGCTCATTACGAATCACTCCACGCCACGCTCGACCATCCTCGAGCTGCGGGCCCGTTCTGGTGGCAGCGATGGCGTATCAGGCCGGCATGGTGGCGGCCACGCTTTCCACCGAGGGCCTTGAAGCTCCACCTCGTTCAACCCCATCGTCATCAGCGCCAGCGTGCCGCGCAGTTCCTCGGGATCGATGCCACGGGTGATGAATATCATTCGCGTACGCCGATCTTGCGACGGCCATCGCTCCAGTTCGATCGGCGGGTGGAAGACGTGTTGCACGCCGTGAACGACCACGGGGCGCGTCATGCCCGGCGATGTTGATGATGCCCTTCACCCTCAGCAGATCGGCACCTTGAACATGGTGAGCAGCCTAACCAGCGGTCGAAGGCGACCGGATCCAGCGGCGTGTCGAACGTCAGGCAGGTTGCCTGAATGTCCTTGTCGTGCCGGTTCACATCGTGGTGATGGTGATGATGATGACCGGCATGATGGCCTCATCCGCCAGCCAGCGGTTGACGTCGTCGCTCTTGCTGGCGGGATCCCCAGGCCGACATCGAACAAGAGTGCGGGATCGACCACCCCGTTCGAGACCGGAACGATCGGCGCGCCCGGATTGAGCGCGGCGAGCCGGGTGCGTATCGCGGCTTGCGTCGCTTCCTCGGCGAGATCGGTCTTGGTCAGCAGCAACCGGTCGGCGACCGCCGCCTGCTTCACCGCCTCCGGCTGAAGCGTCCGCGTCGCCATACCCGCCGCGGCGTCCACGGTCGCGATGACGGCGTCCAGCCGGTAGAGGCGCGCCAGTTGCGGATCGGTCATCAGCGTGTGGAGGATCGGTGCCGGATCGGCCAGTCCGGTGGTTTCGATCACCACCCGATCGAACCAGCATTCCCATCGCGCGCGAACCGCCATGGCGCGTCGCGCAGCGTGCGCGCCAGTCGCCACGAATGGTGCCACAGACATCCGCCCATCATTTCGACCAACAGATCCTCGTTCGATCGTGCGACTAGGTCATGATCCAGCCCGATCGCGCCGAACTCGTTGATGATGACCAGCGCCCGCGCCATGTCCGGTGATCGGACCAGATGATTGAGAACGGTCGTCTTGCCGCTGCCGAGGAAACCGGTCAGCACCGACACGGGGATGCGCGCAGCCATCGCCGCACAGGTGCCGCTCATGCGTCGTCGCCCGACAGATGGGGGGGCGGGTCGAAATATGGGCCTCAGTGAGCAGGGGATATCAGGGCTGGGACCAAAGCCGTCATCTGAAGGCCACTGGACATCGTTTCACTTCTCCGTATATGTAATGTTGTAACGTATCTCATTGATGATCGCTATGGCAACCTTCTCCAATCGATCGCCGCCTGCCGGTCACGGTCCTTTCCGGTTTCCTTGGCGCAGGAAAGACGACGCTGCTCAACCACATCCTCGCCAATCGTGAAGGGCGACGGGTGGCGGTGATCGTCAACGACATGTCGGAAGTGAATATCGACGCCGACACGGGTGCGCGGCGGCGAGGCGGCACTGTCGCGCTCCGAGGAAGCGCTGGTCAGAGATGACCAATGGCTGCATCTGCTGCACGCTGCGCGACGATCTGCTGGCCGAGGTTCGCGCGCTGGCTGAGGCCGGGCGGTTCGACTATCTGGTGATCGGTCGACCGGCATTTCCGAACCGCTGCCGGTCGCCACCACCTTTTCCTTCCGTGACGAGGATGGCGTGTCGCTGGGCGATGCGGCGCGGCTCGATACGATGGTGACCGTGGTCGACGCGATCAATCTGTCGCCGATTATTCCAGTGGGATTTCCTCGCCGATCGCGGCGAGACGCTGGGTGAGGACGATACACGCAGCTTGGTCGGCCTGCTGGTCGAACAGATCGATTCGCCGATGTGGTGGTCGTCAACAAGGCGTCGTCCGTGTCGCCCGAACAACTCGCCGTGGTGAAGAAGCTGGTCGCCAGCCTCAATGCCGATGCGGTCATCGTGGCGGCCGATCAGGCCCGCGTCGATCTCGACCTCGTGCTCGCCACCGGCCTGTTCGATGAGGAGAAGGCGCGTCACCCGCTCTGGGCCAAGGAACTCTATGGCTATGCGCACCACCAGCCCTGAGACGGAGGAATATGGCATCGAGAGCTTCTGCCCATCGCCCGCGCGCCCTTTGATCCGGCGAAGTTCCACGCCTTTCTGACGACGGGCAGGCTCGACCATGTGGTGCGGGCCAAGGGCCATTTCTGGCTGGCGACACGGCCCGACTGGGTCGGCGAACTGGCGGTGGCGGAAGCCAGACGATGACGTCGCGCATGGGCCGCTGGTGGGCGTCGGTCCCGAAGAGCCAATGGCCCGACGACGGACAATTCGAGGAATTCGTCGCGCGGCACTGGGACCCCGTCTGGGGCGACCGGCGCCGGGAACTGGTGTTCATCGGTATCGGCATGGACGAAGCGCGCATCCGGCAGGGGCTGATGCCTGTCTGGTGCCTGCGGCTGCGTTCACCCCGGCATTGTGGACGGGGCTGCGCGATCCGTTCCCGCATGGGGTGAGCGCCAGTTGCAGGCCGCGGAATGACGCTCGGCGCCGATCGGGCGGGACCGAGCAAAAGGGACTCTAAAGCGGAGACGATCTCGATGAAATACTGGCTCGCCTGCCTCGCCGTCATCGCCATGCCCGCCGCCGCGCAGGGCGGGGCGGTGACCGCCCTTTACGCTGGCGCCGCTGCCTATCCGGCGACCGCGCTGGAGCCGGTGATCGATGCGGAAACCATGACGCTGCACCATGACAGGCATCATCAGGCCTATGTCGATGCTCTCAACAAGGCGGTTGCGCCAATCCGGCACTGGCGGCCCGTTCGCTGGAGGACTTGCTGGCACAGGCCGGATCGGTGCCGGCGGCGGTCGGAACAATGCCGGCGGCCACTGGAACCATGGCTTTTCTGGAAGACGATGACCCGCCCCGGCACCGGTGGCCAACCGTCACCTGAACTGGCCCGCGCGATCGAGACCGCGTTCGGATCGATGGAGAAGATGAAGGCGGCGTTTGGCGCGGCCGGCACAGGGGCGGTTCGGCTCCGGGCTGGGTGTGGCTGATCGTGGGGAAGGACGGCAAGCTGGCGATCCTCGACGCCCAACTGGGACAATCCGCTGATGAACGTGGCCGAGGTGCCCGGCACGCCGCTGCTCGGCAACGACCTCTGGGAACACGCCTATTATCTGAAGCATCGCAACCGCCGGGCTGAATATCTCGATGGCTGGTGGCAGGTGGTCGATTGGAAGACGGTGTCGAGCGTTTTCGCCGCCAGCCGAGGTGATCCATAAGGATTATCTGGGGTCGTCGGCATAAAAGGACGAACGCGAACGTCTTGAAATGGTAGCGCCATGTCTGGTTTCCCTGCGGGAGGTTGGCAGGCGATCGGGCGTTTGCGGTGTCAGCAGGTGTCGCTACCGGTCGTAGCAGGGGTGCGGCCAACCGTGGCTGACCCCATCAGCTCCGCATCTGCACCGATATGGAAGACGCGATCATCGCCGATCCCTTGGCCTAATGTTGGTTCCAGTTGATCGGACTCGCGGATCAAGCGGAAAGCAGCTCGCCATTCCGCCATGGCGGCGACGCCTTTCCCGTTGGAATGCTATTTGGGGAATGAGCCTGCCGTTCCATGCCACGGCCAATCTGCCAAGCATCTTCAGGACCGCCTCGTCCGTTGGCCGCACATCCTCGGAGAAGGACGGTTTTTCGAAATACCCTGTCACGACCGGGGGCTTGCGACCTTTGGCGGCATGAGAACCGCGGTCGTTGGTCTTATTGCCGATGCCGGGACGCATGCCCGTGCCGGTCTTGTCGAATCCATGCCAATCAGCAGGAAGGCCCGCCCGTATGCGCTTCGATCCGCTCTGCGTCGCCGCCATCCAGCTGCGCAGCCGATCGCGGCTGTGGCTGGGCGTAGCACGTCGCCAGGACGATCCGCCGCACCGTTTCGGCCATCGCTCTTGGTGTGGTGCTGTTCTCCTGCGTGCCGGGCGGGATCCGTTGATGGCGGTTCGTAGCCGTCGAGCCGGCCACGGCGTCCCCGATTTCGCGCCAGAACCGCGTGAGCGCGGCGGGCCCTCCGGGCGGTGCATGAGCACGTTCGCAGCGGCATTGTCGCTCGTGATCTGCACGGCTTGCGCCAACGCCGGGATCGGCAGCTTGCCCTTATCCGATTTTCCTCGACGATCGGGGAGTAGGCGACGATGTCAGCTCGGCTGAAGGCGAGCGTCTCCATCAGGTCGAGGCGGCCGGCATCGGCTTCCCGGAGCGCCATGGCGGCCAATGACAATTTGAACGTCGAGCAGTGACAGAAGCGCTCGTCGGCGCGCCATCGAAGCTGCGTCCGCTACCGGTGTCGAGAACGAACGCGCCTAGCCTGCCGCCCGACGCCCGCTCGATTGCCCGGAGACGGGCGGTCGGATCGCGCATGGACGTCCCCGCGTCAGCGCGACCTCCCAAGGCGAGCTCG